AATTGAAACATTTAAACCCATATAGATCTAAACTAGCCAATATTCCCTGCTTATCAAGGCAAAATGACCACCACCATTCCTTCACTAACATCATTCTTGCCAAATTGTTTTATGAAACTTTTCGACACATGCATGTAGCATACATAGAATCACATATACATAACCAAAAGGCAAAAGGCAAAAGCCATTGGCAACACAAACAATATACACACTCGAACCTTTATTTAAAATAAAAATAAAAATAAAAGAAGAAGAAGAAGAAGAAGAAGAAGAAGACAACACAAATAATATCAACCTATCACATCAAATCTCAAAATCAGCCTAAAACTAAGTTATCATGAACCATCATGCAAACTAAACAGGCAGTTGCCAACTGCATGGCTTCAAGTTTCTAACAAGTAAAGCTTGAATAATATCAGTCTTTTAACCAAAAGATGCAGCTTTTGTAAAGAAACAATTAAGAGAGGAAACAGGAAGTGCTTAATTTCATCTTACCACATCCAAACCCCTAATGCACTATTTGGTTGCTGAGGAATTTATATAAAATGACACATACAGCTAAAATTATAATTCTCTTTCCATTATCCACTTAAGTGAAGCCACTAATTATTATATAATCTCATAACAACATAAAAACACAAAAATGGAAGATTTTCCCTTTTTCTTGCCTGAAATTCCCAGCAACCAAACAGAGGATACATAGAAAATACCAACCCAACAAACGATCTAAGAATGAAATTTCTAAAGAACCCCCAAAGAGAAGGTAGAATTAAGACTTACCCATCAAAGCTTAGCTGAACCTTGTCCTTGGCAGAAACCCTAAGAGAGAGAAATTTAGAGAGAGTGTGTGAGAGTTAAAAAGGAGGGACAGAGAAAGTTTGAAATGTTGGGTCTTTAGGAGAGAGAGAGAGAGAGAAAGAGAGACAGAGAGAGAGACAGAGAGAGTTCTTCTAAGAGCATCGTTAGGTTGACACGTTTCCAACACTGAGAGTTCTGACTATTCGAGGAGTTATGTTCAGAACTGACACGTGGCGGAAAGCCACTGGAGTTGCAGTAAAAAAGGATGCTCACGTATACCACTGTGACGTATGAGGAAAAAGACAGCTTATTATGTGAGGGTATTTTTGGAAAGATGGTTTTGTCCAGATAAGCACGCGGTGGGACGTGGAGCAATCTCATGAGGTCACGTGACTGAAAGGGTCCCATTCACTTGGGAGTCTATCGACCATTGTCATGTTCACGTGACAGACTTTTTTTATGAACATTGTCATGTTCAGGTGACAGACTTGTGCAAGCTGTCCTGGCATTCAAGCTGTGCCTTTTTTCGGTTACATTTTGGAGGAAATCGGATTAGACATACACTACAGATTTATGAATTTTTCTTATTGAAGGCTAGATGTAATATTACAATTTTACTTATATTTGATTTTTTTTTTAACAACGTGATATTCTAAACTACTTTAATATACAGAGAGAGGGATCAAATTCAAGTACAAGGGACATGCACATTGCCTAGTCAACTAACCTAACCCACATATGTACTTTTATATTTTGAATTTGGGGCTAGTTCTTTTTATAATCATAGTTCTTTTAAATGCAAGAGGATTGTAGCTCAAATAGTTAAAAATATTTACCACTACATCTGAGGTCTTAGGTTCGATTCCCTCTCATTCAATATCGCTTGTATATAAAAAAAAGTGTCTTTAAATAATATTTTAAATGAATAAACTTGTCTTTGGAAATTCTATTAAAACATAATTATGGGAAGTTTTAAGTTCGATTCCCCTTTCCCGAGATCCTAGGCTCACTTTTCCCTTTCCCCCAACCCCAGGTGCTAAGCCCACACCTTTTGTTTGGTTAATGGATAACGGGCTATCTCGAAGATGAGGCATTTAACAACAATACGATTGTGGGGATTTGACCCAAAAAAAGAAAGAAAAACAATATGATTGTGGGGCACCTACAACAAGAAAAGTGTTTGTGTGGTTGGTTGGTCCAACACTGGCTGAGCCCAAATCCAACAAGGAATGACACTATGCAAGGACTCTCTCCCCTTTGTAATGCCTTTGTTCACTCTCAAAACGCTCTCAAATCTTGACCGTTGATCCAAATTTTCACATCAACAAAAAGCAAAACCAGCAACCAAAAAAGAAAAGAAGCATAGATTTGCTAGAGGAAGACATGAGTTCCTAAATACTTGGTAAAATCCCACATTCTCTAAACAACTTCATTGGGAAAAAGGGTTTTTTTAACCTTTTTCTTTTGCTTTCTGTTTTTAAAATGGCAGGATATAAATTTATTATCCACCACTTTCTTCTGTATTAGCAACTGACCATACATAATTATGAGCTGCTGAGGGGTTGGCTTGGCATGCTATAACCTAGTCGTCTAGATAATAAACATGAAGCAAACCAAATTGGTTGCAACCAGAAGCCACCTCCTATGTCTCATTGCTTGTTGGCCGACCAAGCTGAGAATGACTTAGAGACAAACAACAAATGACACTAAATCATAAACTGTGGAGCCCACATCTTGGTTGAGGTTACCGACCCAAAAATCCCAAACTGTTTGTCTTTCAAGGCCGGCTACTAAATTTGCAGCACAAATTCATATTCCTTAAACCTTTCTACATCCAATAACAAGAAAAAACTTGCTGTTTCCACCTTAGTTCACTTTGAGGAGGAAGCCAAATATGATGCATAGAAACATGGTGAGATTTTTTAATGTCTCAAAATGTCAAAGCTCAGCAACCCATCTGCAAGAATCAGCTGTGTTTTTTTAGGGTCACATCTACAAAAATGTATTATTTTCACCTTATATATATATCTAACCATTGCTCTCCATAGAATAGTTTATTTAGTAGGAGAGATCATTGCCCATCACCTCAAAACAAAGGGAATGTTCTAGCTCAGCATAGTTAATAAAGGAACAGCCATTTTACACACTCTGAGTAGGGGAACCATCCAAGTTCCTAAAATCTCTAATCTCTAATCTCTTTTATTGCCTTGCTCTTCTCTCCCCTAATCTCCTCCAAAAACTAGCAATGGAAGACTTCAATGGTTGGCTCTCCTTCCCCTTCCATGAGAGTCTCAACCACGATCTCGCCATTCGAAGGTTTTGTCCAGCAAGAGTCGAGCAAGAACAAGAAGGAGAATGGGAGGAAATACTGAATGAGATTGAGTTCTCTTCACCCTCTGAGACCACAAGCCCTCCTTGCTTGCCAGCCTCAGAGGTAGATGACTTTGTTGACAGCTTCATCAATATGGATCATTGTAGGGATGATGATATTCAATCCTTGGAGAAGCCACAAAGTTTTGATTACTATGATCAAGATGGGATGGAGACATTTTCAATGGTGGATGATATGTATGGAGATGTTCTGATGATGATGGAAGGAGATGACATGGAGATGGGTGGCTTGGCTGAGGATTTTGGAGTTGGAGAAACTAATATGGTGCCTAGTGTCGAAGAGGTGAGCCATGGAGTGGACCAAGGGCTTCACTTGGTGCACATGTTGTTGGCTTGTGCTGAGGCTGTGGGCTGCAGGGACACCAAACTTGCAGAATCTTTGCTCAGCCAAATTTGGGTTTCAGTTAGTCCTTGGGGTGATTCTTTGCAGAGAGTCTCATCCTGCTTTGCAATGGGATTGAAGTCAAGGCTTTCTCTTCTTCATAATGTCAATATAAATGGTACATTCAACAATGATACTATGGATGTCTCTTTGACCTCTAGGGAGGAGAAATTGGAAGCTTTTCAACTCCTTAACCAAACAACTCCTTACATAGCTTTTGGCTTCATGGTTGCAAATGAAGCTATATGTCAAGCAGCACAAGGGAAGGAAAACCTGCACATCATTGATTTGGGAATGGAACACACTCTTCAGTGGCCATCCTTGATAAGAACCCTGGCATCAAGGCCGGAGGGCCCGCCTAAGAAGCTCCGAATCACGGGACTCGTTGAAGATCACAATGTGTTTGAACTTGAAGCAGGCATGAAAGCCCTGGTGGAGGAGGCTAGCTCACTAGGCATACCAACAGAATTCAACATGATATCAGAACCAGTAAAACCATCACTTCTAACTAGAGAGAACCTGGACTTGAGAGAAGGAGAAGCATTATTTGTCAATAGCATCATGCACTTGCATAAGTATGTTAAAGAGAGTAGAGGCTCTCTGAAGGCAATCCTCCAAGCCTTGAAGAAATTAGGTCCAACTGTTCTTACATTGGTGGAACAAGATGCGAATCATAATGGGCCATTTTTCCTTGGGAGATTCCTCGAGTCTCTTCACTTTTATTCTGCCATTTTCGACTCACTCGAGGCTAGCCTCCCACGAAATAGCCCTCAGAGGATGAAGATAGAGAGGCAGCACTTCGCCAACGAAATTAGAAACATTGTTGCTTTTGAGGGCTTAAATCGGATCGAGAGGCACGAAAGGGCAGACCAATGGAGAAGGCAATTAGGCCGCGCTGGGTATCAAGTGATGGGGTTGAAGTGTACAAGTCAAGCAAGGATGATGCTATCTGTTTATGGCTGCGATGGGTACACTTTGGCTAGCGAGAAGGGTTGCCTCCTCCTTGGGTGGAAAGGCAGGCCCATAATGCTGGCTTCTGCATGGCAAGTGCACAATGCTTCTTCCTCCTAGCCTCCTCCATGATATCATTTGTCGACGTTGCAGCTGATTTGGTTAAAGCCTTGGCAGTCATTCTATTTTATTATTGGAAAGTAATAAAATGAGTTATCTTCTAATCAAAGATCCCAGTGATGATAGAAATTTGGTTTCTAAAGATCTTCCTACTGCTCTCACTTGGGCTCAATACACTTCAGTTATAAAATTAGCATTGTAGCTTTGAAGATTGCTATTTGCTTGGGACCAAATAAACCAGTCAAGGTGTTCTAACACAAAGCTCTTTGAAGGCCCCATTTATAGCCAAATTGGCCTACCAAATAAGAAGTTATAGTAAATCAGAAATGTTGAAAGCTAGTAGAAAATGCATTTGTAAGAATAGTAGAAACCAACTCGCAACCGTGCATTCTCTTTGTGAAGCTAAAACATTCTACTACAATTTTGTGAGTTTCAGGGGAAGAAAGCAAAATAAAAGAAAATTACTTGAAAGGAGCCTATTCCATTCCGGAAAAAAGTGGAAAATCATGGATCTGCGCTCCAAATATATATCATACACACTATCTTATGAGGTACCAATTGAATGAATAAATGTACCATGTCTAAAGCATGCAAAAACGCCACAACTGTGATCAAATGATCATTTAGAAGCTTTATAACCCTGTGCTTTGGGTTGGCTCGCAGCTTTAGTCATTACTCGTAAGCAACTGGCAATCTCTGTGAAAGATGGCCTGGCCGCAGGATTAGGAGCCCAACACTGCTCCATAAGCACTCTCCATTCAGGATCACAATAACTTGGAATGGTGGGTCTCAATGTGTTATTTACAATACCTCCTGCATGTATTAAAAGAAATTCAAAACACTTAAATCTGTAGCAGTGAGTTAATAATTATATACATACATACATACATACATACATGAGAGAGAGAGAGAGAGAAATAATAACAAATTGAAATTAAGTTAACCGTGAGGCAAACATCAGTCTTCGATGGTGCAACAATATTGACATGCAAGCTCCAGCTCAACCAAAACAATAGAGTAAAACAATCACCTATAATTGCTCCATAGTGCATGTTGGCATATGGCTCCTCGCCAGTAAGAATCTCCCACAAGACAATACCAAAGGAGAATACATCAACCTACAGCATTTTATCAAGAGTCAGCAAGGGAAGCAATGAAGTCCCTAGATATGCAAATGTACCAGGTTAATCCAAAATCATTCAGATCCGGGGAAAAAAAAAATATGTTCCTAAGTTTCTTTCTACACTAGACGAAACAGAAGGAAGAGAGAACAAGAGATGAAGAACAACAAAAAATTAAAAAAAATCATAAGAACAACTTCACCAATTTGACATTTTTTTTAAAACTAGAAAGAGATCCAGTAAGAGACTTCAATCACGTTAGCTGCAGACTGCCCTATATTTAAATGGGCTAAATTGATACACACTCTATCCCTCACTATTTATCTATTTCTATTTCCATCGTAAAAATAAAACTTAAACAGAAATCTTACCTTTTCAGATACCTTAGTGCTGCTGCCATTCAGCAACTCTGGTGCCATCCATGGTAACGTTCCCCGTACACCACCAGAAACCAGGGTATTTCGCTTGATTTTTGAAAGCCCAAAATCACCGACCTGGGAAGAAACACATATTATTGTTGTTACTCATGGTAAGTTGCTAACAAAGAAAGTTAACCATTTCTAGTATTGATAACTTCATGATAATTACCTTGCAAATTGGCCGTACAGGATCTTTTAGGTTCACAAGTAAGTTGTCACACTTCAAGTCAAAATGCACAATATTCTTTGAGTGCAAATATTCCATTCCAAATGCTGCATCCATAGCAATTATTAGTCGCTTGCGACGATCAAGATACCTGCATAATAAGATTAAAAGAAAGAAGGTGAAAATAAACGAAATAACTGCTGCCATTCAGAAACAGTGAACTTGAAACATACAGATAAAAATACATCAAAAGCTTAGTGTACTTTCATGATTGTCTAGTATTGCCATCATGATCTGAGTGCATGAAACAAAGCAGAAACGTATAGGACAGCATCAATGGATCATTACCTATCTTTTCGAAGCAAGACATGCCTAAGAGAACCATCAACCATGTACTCAGTTACGGTAGCAAGTGTTCCCCCTGGTCCATCTTGCACTACACCATAAAACGCCACAACATTTGGATGGTGAAGCTTTGAAAGAATGTCAGCTTCCCGCCAGAACTCTATACTCTGACAATTGAGTAAGAAATACCATTATGGCCTTGAAAAGGAAAATATTAATGTGTCACAGAAGCAACATAAATATTAGAATATATTTCCTCCACAAGCTTTTCAATAAATGTGAATTTCATTGCACAATTCAGACGTGGGGAAGAAAGGCTACCAATCTCTCTTGCTCTGATGATCTCCCAGTGAAGCAGCTCTTATTTAGTCTCTTAATGGCAACATCACTGCCCCTCCATTTTCCATGATACACAGTCCCAAATGTACCAGAACCTAGTTCCTTCAGCTGTTCGAGATCATCGTTCTTTATCAACTATCATGTGCACGAAGAAGAAAGAATCAAAGAGATGTCAAATGGAAAGTCTATACTGTTGGTAAAAGTAGGTTAACCAATACCAAAATAACAGATCCAGTGCATTTACTAGCAAGTTTGTGTAGATGTATAAAAGAAAATGAATAACCAATTAACTGGGGGACCAAATGCTTTAACAACAGTGAAACACCTGAAGCCCATAGAGATTACTCAAAATCTCTACAGTATAATTAATGAAGGATAAAAAATATCATATTAAACATTAGGGATGATTCTCTGTGTGTGTGTGTGTCCATGTGCCCAAGTATGCATGCACAAGTAGTCTTTCTTTTGGATGAGGACAATATTGAACGTAATGTTTCTTTCTATTTTATCCCAACCCCAATTCATCCTTTCATGACAAAAGATATTCACTATGCTTGCATATAATGGTTTTCTTGACATATATGCAAGATTTATTCAATTAGAAGAAACTGTGACGAAATGGGAATAAACACAAAATGATGCGATATTCTCATTTTCTGATACTAATAGGAGGGCTATTTGACATTATTATCCAGATCCAAATCCTAAGCCAAGTTCTAACAACATAGAAAATTTTTGTTTCTTAAAATATGGAATAGCCAGGTCTCAACAATGCAAAGCACTATATTTGTTGTCTAAATCAGGGGGGTTAGGGAGAGGGAGGTGGATAGGGAAATGAGAACAAACCAAAACTTTCTACTAAGAGCTACACCCACTCGAACGAAGTAAACTTTTTGTATAGCTTTTTCTATATCCAATCACTTAATAGACAAATATTTCATTTAACCAAGTTAAAAAGAGAAAACTCTTATATCAAATTATTTAACATTTAAGCATCACACTCGAACGAAGTAAACTTTTTGTATAGCTTTTTCTATAGCCAATCACTTAATAGACAAATATTTCATTTAACCAAGTTGAAAAAAGAAAACTCTTATATCAAATTATTTAACATGTAAGCATCACACCTGCAAGGTACTGATATCAAAATCTCCCAGAGAAGGATCTAAATGAGGCAAACCAGCTTTTCTGCTTGCAAAATTCCCCTCCTACATCCAAGTTATGGGAACATTGTTAGCAAAGGAGCAATTTGTTAAGAAAAATGAGACCTGATCAAAAGACTACCTCATACTCCGAATTTTGCGCTCTTATGTTTTCCATCATTCCCTCAAACTGCATACTTTCGGTGTCCTTCACTTGGAGTTGATCATAATTAGAATGCAGAACTGTTGTTTCAGCTTGAGTCATTCCAGGCAAGTCTTTTTGAATGTCTTCCGCAAATTTAGGCTGAGAATCCACATGGACCATTGAAACTCCAGCTGCTATTAATGGTGTGAGATGATAAGATCTACTATCTCCTTCCACATCATTTCCAATCACAGACGGAAAACCAAGATCCTGGTCAATAAGAGAAACATCTTTTTTATCAAACCCTTCTTGTGCCAACTTCTGGAAATATGACCAGCGTCTAGGTTCATGATTTTCCATATTTAAGCTCAAACCAGCTCCATCCTTTTGCAGCAAACCAAAATCAGGGGAGTCTTCAGAGAGTACTGCCTTGGAGAATATATCAGACAGGAAATCACGAGGAAATCGTTCTTCAATATCAATAATGATGTCTCCCTCCACTGGAGTAGAAGCACCAACTGGAGCTGTTTCTTGAGAAACATCTTTAGACGACTTCCCTGTCAAAGTAATGGGCTGAGCACGGCCCATAGTGTCAACAGTACTTGGATCCTTGCCAGTGGCCTCTTCCTGATTAAGCTCAGAATGATTAGATGCAGAAAGCTCCTGGTGCTTTACAGAAGGTATCCCACTTATATGTGATCCAGCTTCTACAATGTTATTCTTATGGCTATCTTTAGGGAAGTTTGTTTCTTGGTCAGACTCAAGAATCCTATCCCTTTTTGCAGTCTCTATATTATCCACATGGGTTGGTAATGCCCGCTTTAGTTCGCCATCTGTATCTTGCAAAAGCTTTGCATTCATCTGAGAAATTGAATCAGCAAACTCTTTGTACTTCTGAAGTTGGGCAAGTCCATCATCAACAGTTTGAGCATCCACATATACCGTTGGGGTAGACAGTTCAGTCTGGGGAGCAAGGTTTCCATGTTCATGCAATTTGTTAACTCCTTCCATGATTGGATCCTTCTGGGTGACATCAGAACGAGAATGAGTTATGAGAAACGGAGAACCATGAGAATCATCAGATTTTGATGAACGATTCAGCAACTCTGCCTGCTCCCTGGGAATTCTTTCTGAGTAGTAGACTCTTTTAGGAAGCACAGCTGGCTCTTGGTAACTGAAATCAACTCCATTAGACAAATGGTCAGCATAAGCAGGAGCAAATGCATTGCTAGATGTGGAATTATGTTCAATTTCACTGGATTTATGAACCAGCACTGGGTTCCCAGAATCAATTGATGAAGCAACCTTTTCAGGTTCCTGGTACTTTCTTTCATCTTTTGATGCTTCTTCAACAGGAAGATGGTTCATCAAATTACCATCATACAGCTGTAAAGGGACAGAGTGCTCTTTCCCCGAGGGGCGAAGTTTTTCAGGATCACTCTCTTGCTGCAGTGAACCATCACGTTTCACCTGCTTTACTGGCATCTCAAAATTTTGTTCTCTTGAGCGACCAGATGGCTGCTCTTCAATTGAACCTCCTTGTTGATTCATAATTCCATGATGAGGCACTGAAACAGTAGTTCCTCCAAATGGGGAGTGACTTGGAAGGGTATGTCCATTGTGCAGCGAGTACTGCACATTTTGTCCATAATGCATCACCTGGCTATGCTGAAAATGAGGATGCATGTCATAGGCTTTTGAAAAGTTAGGTAGCATTGGTTCAGAAGACTGAACGGTTCTTGATGAAACAATATTTCCAGTTAAACTTGAAGTGCCTACCTGTATTGAGTCTTTTGCAACCCTACTTGTCTCCTTCTCAATATTCTGTCCATTTAACTCATCCAAATTATTTGTTAAAGTGCTCGTCATACCAAGTAGAGTCGAGTTTTTTCTCGACCCGAGGTCCATTCCATTGACAGCAACTACATACTGAACCTCAGAATCACCATCCACACTGTGCAGACCAAACTGAGCATCATCCAGATCACTCATGGAGAACAAAAACATCCTAAGCTTTTGTGGTCCTTCTTTATCTTCTAGTTCATTCCATTCTTCCATCATATTCTGCAGATCCTCGTCACAAGATACAGAAACTAAGGCATCAAGATCCTCTCCAGGAAGCTGATATTTAATTACATGCACTTGATTATAAATTGATAAAGCTTTATGTATAAGCTCCTGCCAGGAAATGTCCTTTCTTACACGGATAATGCGTGTTTCACCTCCAACATACCTGAGCTTCCCGTCACTTGGTCGGGGTAAGATTTTACCTCCAAAGCTGCAGAGAACTTTCATTTTCATTGATGAACTATCAGAGGCTCCAGAAGAGGCATATCGATGAATATGACTATTTTCATAGCCTGATGAAGCTCTTGGTACGGATTGAACTGACGCATAGTTATTCCTGTCATCATTTAAAGATGACCTGTTTCTTTCAAACTGGTTTGGCCCTTTTTCAGCTAAAGGGAGCATTGAAGTATCTGACCCACTCTCAGACCCTGGATTACTGATTCCTAAAATTCCTTTTAGTTCAATATAATCTGTTGCATAACTTGGATCACCAACAGCATTCGGATTCAAAGGCTTCCTGGGGTTCACTCGATCAAGCATAAATTGAAGAGCAAACTCCTCTCCAGTCTGTATGGAGTAATTATGTACAGGTTTAATTTCTGGTATATTAAGGTCATTAGATCTCATATCAGTATGCATGCTGCTGCTCAGAGAGTCCTGCAAATATGACTGGGATGCAGGTTGGAATTCATCCTTTCCAGGTTCCATGGAATTGTATTGGAACTGTCTATGCGTTATTAATTGTCATACCATTGTTTGAATTTCTTCCTCACCTTAATTGGGATTAACCTCAACACCAAAATACTAACAAAAACTCATTCAATATATCGATTGCTTGCAGACAACTCCTATGACATGCAGAAATGCTGATTTCTCCAAAAAGAGAAAACTGAAACGACAAACAAGCTTCAATAAGTTTCCAGTCCCTATTATCTAGACAGAACCCAGAAGCTTCAGCAATCTTGAAAATGCTTCATTAGGTAAAATATGTATATTAGTAGATCTTTTTCTTACTTTCAGTCACAGAAGTGAAAAATATGAGGGAGCTGTGTTATCCTCCACATTTTAATTTATCAAAGAACTAGAAGGAAAAAAAGGGCAACTTTTATTGTATCATCTGTCATTTCCTTGTAAAAAAACCAAAAATGTACAAGTCATATAGAAAATATTTTTCTAGCATGTGCGTATTGCAATATACTCAGTGTCACTGTCCATGGAGTGCTAATGCTTACATGTAACCATCTAAGTAATTAACACTGACGTGTCCACAGTTTCCACCATGTTCATGACTTATGTTACAGTAATCACAGACCACACAAACACCAATGTTTATTGAACACACAAAAGGAAACTTGTTCTCCAGCCTCCGTTACAGTCAGAACGATCTTATTAAAACTTCAATTAGATGCCTAAGTTTCTTGTATTACATTCTTTCTAATTTTGTTTGAAAAGACAGATCATACTGTAAGAAACCAAAGCTAAAGAACTACTGCTGCATAGTAAAATCCAAGGAAAACAAAAGAGAAGAATGAAAGGATATATTGTTCAATGTTAAGCTTGATTAGTTTATTACCGCAGAAACATCTATCCGGTGGAGGACTATTAACTCATTGAAGGAACCAATTAAAATTTTACCAATAAAACAACTTTATTAATTATTCTCCCTATTTTATTGGATTAATAAAAAATTTCTTAACCAGTCAATAATCATAAACAAATTAAACTACCTTCAACCTGTATTCAGTGCCATGAAATACAATGCACAAAAACACACAGAAATGCATGAATATACGCATACACCAATACCAAAAAAACAACTTGAATCACTCACAGATCAAAATCAAAGAAACCCAAAAACCAATACCGCAACTAGATCAAAAACAATAAAAATAAATTTAGCCTCGAGTACCTGAAAAAACAATGCTTTTGTAGCTGAAACGCTCTCACAGTATATCTTTGGTTCGGGAGGGCTTGAGTGAACCAGCCACCATTACTGTATCAGCGGAAAAGGAGGAGTCTTTGCGACTGCAGCTCAAAGAACACAACTTCGAAAGAAAAGAAAAAGATTTTCCCTCACTTCCTCGCTCTTTCAATTGAAAATTTTGGATTTTTCGGCTACCTAGAAATGAAACAACTGCTCATAACTCATAAGGCTTTTGCTTTCTTGTCTTTTAATTCCTGCAAAATCATGTTTAACTCATTTATTTACTCGCTTTGATGCCAAGTCAAATGAGCGAAGACAGAGAGTTGGTTTTCCCGGATTACCCCTCTTGGGTTGCGTTTTTACGTAAATTGCCATGTAGATATGTACAAGTTGACTAGGTAGTAGGCGAAGTTGGTTAAGAGGGAGGAGGACTAGCCTAAAGAGAGTCCCCATGGATCTTGTAGTGAGCTCGCACTTCACTTTCCAAGAAAACATTTTGGGGTGACATGGTGGAAGAAAACATACTCCAGAAAATCAACCCTTCTTTTCAAACTTTTTTAGGTGAGAGAAAATTTATAATATAATATTACGATTCATATCCACATATACACTTGAGGTGACCTTGGCCCATTCAAGTAACGAGACTTCGTTAGCAAGTTTCTGAAAATAGATGTAATTATATTGCAAAATCTTTATGTAATGTGTTGTTGACTCCCAGACATTTTAGGCTCTAACCTATCTCATAAAAACAAAAACTGTTGGATCTTCGCTCATATTTTTGGGAATGTTTTCTTTATTTCCAGTTTATTCATGAAATACATTCTACTTATGTCCAAACTTAATGCATGATTCTTTTAGGAGCTCTTGCATATTGTGTTGATAGTCTACTTGTGAAGAAAAAAAAAAAAACTTACTTGTAATGAGGATAGCACTGTTTTGCTATTTTCAGCCGATAATACAATGATATTGGGAAAAGTTATCCTACGTGTCATTGTGTTATTAGTCAAGAATAGCAAAAAGTGATATCCCCGTTGCATGAGAGTTTATCTCCTGTTTATGTCCAAAATTACTCCCTTCAAATTTAAAGTTAGTTAGTTGAGTTCTTTCACATTCATTTATGTAGGTAGAGGTTCGAAACTCCAGACACCTAATGAATATATTTGTGTAGACTCCTCTCTTTTAGTGGCTTGTACTAAAAAAAGAACTTAAATTTCTAATGTAAACCATAAATCTTGATTAAAAAAAAATACATATAAAACAATTTATGAACAATTATTAATTGACTACGATCATAGGCCCAAAGCGACAAGCTCAATATAGGCTTGGGCACATCCCATCCTAATTCACTTCCTTCGCTTGATTAACAAATCACGTGACGCCGCACGTGACATTAAAATTTCCAATCGCTTAGATCACATCGCACGCTCTCTGCCAATTTAAATATTCACCTCCTTGTTTTGCCTTCAAATATAGTCAAGATATTAATGAATACATAGGGATTCTATCAGCGGTCCATTGAAAATAATATTTATAGTCAAGATAATTACATGCCTTTTAAACTTTTTTGAGTTCCGCACGTTTTTATAATTTTTTTTTACAATGATTTTATACGACTAAAGAAGCTTGGAATTGGCCAAGATGTCCTCCTCAGCAATTATATTTGAAGAATCTGGTCGGTCCAATTTGTCATTTTTTTTCTTGGAGCTAAAACAATGTCAAAGTATTCAAACCCAATAAGAATTTTTTAAAATTCCCATAAAAAATGTTAGAAGAAAAAAAAAACAGACGGCTTGCCAATCATTTATTGACCATTCAAATTAATTAAATAATTCATCCTTTTTCTTATATTTAGCATATATTAAAGAATATATTTGATTCTCAATCTTGGCTTGCAAAAAGAAACAAACCGACCAAAAAAAAAAAAGTTGGAGTGGTGGATAGTCAATAAAACCTTTTCTGCGGTCAAGGCTTATCTCACAAGAAACAATTGCTAGAATATTTGCTTCCACCGCCATTGTCAAATTTGACATTTTATTTGCTTTTGAGGCCCTTTGATTGTCCTCCTCTGGCTGTTGGGCCTTCTTTGTACGAGAATCTAGTGGGCTTAGCTAGACCTCTAGCAAATAGAACTTCAAATACACGGATAAACCCACTTCAATTACAAGCTCGTTGCGAAAAGAGAGAGGGAGGGAATAGAACCTCGAATATAGGGATAAATTCACTTGAACTACAAACCCCTTAGAGCATCTCCACCCACAAGGGCTAAGTCTAAGGCAAGGGCACGTAAGGGCTGCAACTATTCACGTGAATAGTGTCAGCCTTTACATTTGTGGTTCCACCCATGAGAGCATCTCCACCCACAATGGCTAAGTCTAAGGCAAGGGCAAGCAAGGGCTGCCACTATTTACGTGAATAGTGTCAGCCCTTTTCTTTTTGGGTG